CAACTAATGCGTTGGAATAAGTAAGAGCTGTTATAGGAGCATATTAGAGTTAATTAGAGCACGCAACGCGAATAAATCTATTGCAATGAAATAATCTGAACTTAATGAAAATTAATAAAAATAAATTGTAAATATATTGAAAAATAAAGAGAAAATGTAGAAAAATTAGGAGAAATATTAAATTACTTTTAAAACATATATGTACTTATATAAAGAAGTATTCAAATATTACATAATTGTAAATATATGCTATAAAAATGTTGTGAGTTGATATAAAAAAAAATTTATATATATGTATATGTCCAAAAAATAAATTTAAAATACAATAAATAAAAAATTTAAAACATTACTAAATTAAAAGGGTCATGAGCCTAAAAATACATAAGTAGAAACTAAGTAAATTATGTGATGACAAACAAATTTTGTATAAATTCGTATTTAATGATAAAAACAAACATAAAAGAATAAAACAATGTAACTATGTATAATAAACAGACGTACGTTTCTGTCCATTTCGGACCCTTTTCAATGTTAAAATAAATTAATATAACGAATAAATAACTACAAGATATAAATTTACATAATAAAATTCTTATCTTAATCGCAAATTAATCATCGCACCAAAGTCAGCAATCTCGCTTACGGTAGAAAAATTGGTCATCTATCGCTTATGTTAAAGTATGAGTGTGCCTTAAATTATAAGTGGTATTACACATTTGTGACAAGCTCGTATCTAATAAAAGATCAAAAAGAAAAAAAGAAAAACAATGAGAATAATATAATCTAAACTGAAATTTTCAAAAATTATAAATGGAAACAATGATAAATGTTAAATAATAAAATGACAAGAAACAATGCTAAATAATCAATCTGAACCGTTACAATATTATATACTGGATCCAAGATCCGTTAGATCAAAAAGAAAAGAAAAACAATGAGAATAATGTAATCTAAACTGAAAATTTCAAAAAATATAAATGGAAACAATGATAAATGTTTAATAATAAAATGACAAGGACAATGCTAAATAATCAATCTGAACCGTTACAATGTTATATACTGGAAAGCTGTGTGAAAAATGTAATCAATCTATTATAAATATATCTAACATTATATTTTAATGTGAAAAAAAATTCCTGTATATAAAGGTACTGAAATTCAAAATTGGAAGTAACCGTAATTATCGAATGAAATTCTATATGCAAAATCCTATGTATTAAGATTAACTTTCCATATATAAATTACAACAATTGTACAATTACCTTGTAAGGATGTCCAAATAAAATTGACAGAATAAAAAGCCATAGTCAAGGCAACAAATTGGCGAATATATAAAAATTATCTATTAATAATCAGTGTAATGCAATAAGAGTAATAAGAACATTCTTCTAGAAGTATCGAGAAGAAGTGACGAACAGTTAGAAGCGAACATCACTAGCTTGCAGACATAAAGGAAAATAACAGGAGGGGGAGATAGAGAGAAGTGGGAGAAACCAAAGTAGTAGGAAAGAATATGAGAAACAAATGTGAAACCGGAAAACATTAGGCAGGGGAAAGCGAATGTATAATATCAGAATAAGAGTCAGGAAGAGATTCGGTATCTTTCATCCTATTAATTCCATGTTTCTGTCGTTTTATGTAAATCATCTCCGACAATAATCTTTTGTTGTAAGAAGATTCATTATCAAGAATTTGAACTTCATCCCATTTGAAATTGTGGTCCAATTCAATTCTGTGTTCAGAAATTACTGAAGGGGAACCTGTATTCTTTCTTATGTCCGATTTATGTTCGTTGATTCTTGTACTCAACTTCCTCTTAGTTTGTCCCACGTAGCTGGCATCACAATTTTCACAAGAAACCTTGTAAACTACTTTACTGTTAGAAAAACGGTCTAACTTGTCCTTCCCTTTTGTAATAACTCCTTTCAGGGTGTTAGGAATAGTAAATGCCAGCTTACAATGGGACATACTAGATATGGGTAGGAAGCTTTCAGAACAAAATTGGCATTTCTGCCGGGAGCTCCCGGCGGATTTTCGCAGGCTGCTTAGCGCTCCCGCCCTCCTGCGGGAGGGAGGTAGTCACGCTGATTGGCTTCCGCGTGTCACGATATCCGCGCGTGCCGTGCAGGCCCGCGC